TCAACTTTAGCCTTAAGGCTCAATTTCCTCAATTTTACACCAATAATCCCATTTTTCCAAGGTCTTACATAAACATGGAGCTCAACAATTGAAAACCCCCTTTCTATAATTTCAAATTCAAACCCCAACTTTTCAAAATTTTTATATTTCACCATTTATACAAAATGACTAAAATTTAGGTTAAAACTCATAAAGACGAGTAGTTTATCCCTACCTCAAATGAAGAGACTCAAAGGAGATGATGAAGAAAACTTAAGATGCTCCAAAGTCCAGCTTTTTTCGGATCAAAGTGTAGCCTAAGCAAAGCTCTACCCTTTTTACAAAAGAAGTAGGGTAGAAACCCTCTAGATCAAGTGTATTGGTAGAGAGAAGAAGTGCGTAGAGAGAGAGAGAGAGTGATGGATCTAGGGTTTGAGATGAAAAGAATATCAAAAAGTGAAGGGGAAGACCGCTGCTGTGAACTGATATATACAGGGCTCGTTCGAGCGAAGAAATGGTCGCTCGAGCGACCAGACACAAAAGAACCTCGCTCGAGCGCAAGATGCGTCGCTCGAGCGAACAATGCGAAGCTTCAGGTCTTCAACCCAGAAGCACACTCAAGTGCAGGACTCCTCGCTCGAGTGAAGAAACACAAAACATAGAGCTCGTTCGCTCGCTCGAGCGAAGAAACACAACCCTCAGGTCAAAAAGAGATGCAGACGCACGCTCAAACGCAAGAGTGCTTGCTCGAGCGAAGTGACACACCACTCAAAGCTCGCTTGAGCGACAAAAGCCTCGCTAGAGCGAAGGAACAAAAATCTAAACAGCACCCATTTGTTCCAACACTCAACCAACCTGTTACAAACCTGCCCAACACATCCCAAAACTCAATTACAAGGAATTAAAGGATGAAAACAAGGTATAGACAACAACCAACAACTACGGAACCTAAGCCCGGAACACAATAAACAATGGAGGAAAACCGGGGCCGTTATAACGTCCCCCCCTTAAAGAATTTCGTCCCCGAAATTAGATATAAGATTCAAAATTGCAAGTTTTCTTTTCAATTCTTAACATGATTACAATACAACCTTTATCAACATGACCTATTACTGATCATTCGATCTCTTTTCAAGAGAACAATATATAATATAACTCAACATGCATTATCAACATGCATTCTTTTGAATTTCAACTAATTTCCAATACACATTCTCCACAATTCCATAACATATGCAATGTTAAAAAAAAATATTTCCATTTCTACAACACATTCAACATATACAATGTTCAATTAAACTCATTTCTTTGAAACGTATACAACAATTTCAGTACTTCCATAATCCGAAACATATACAATGTTCTTGGATTACAAAACAGAATTTTCAACATATGCTCAAATGTTAACAAATAGGTCCAGATATTTCTCTCGGACCTCCAACTCATGTTCCCAAGTGGTTTCCTCAACCCCATGATGTTTCCACAATACCTTGACCAAGGGAATGGTTTTGCCTCGCAAGACTTGGTCTCGCCTATCCAAGACCCGTACCGGTCTCTCCTCATACGAGGCATCCTCATCAACCTCTAGGTCGGTCCAATCCAACACGTGCGACGAATCTGGCTCATACTTCCGAAGCATACTAACATGAATTACGTCATGCACTCCGGACAACTATAGCGGTAATGCTAAACGGTATGCAACCTCTCCAATCCGTTCAAGGATCTCAAAAGGAGTAATAAACCAAGGGGACAACTTCCCGTATTCAATGGCATATTCCCGTCTAGGTGATATTTTCAAAAAGACATGATCACCCACCTCAAATGACAAAGGCCTCCGCCTACGGTCAACATAACTCTTTTGGCGACTCTGGGCTGTAATTAGCCTTTTACGGATAAGTACCACTTTCTTCGTTGTTTCTCGCACCAACTCCGGGCCCAAAAGAGGTGCATCACCCACCTCGGTCCAACACATAAGAGATCTACACGGTCGGCAATACAAGGCCTCAAATGGTGCCATGGCAATGCTCGATTGGAAACTATTGTTATAGGCAAACTCCGCTAAGGGAAAGTGCCTCTCCCACAACCCCCTAAAGTCAAGGACACAATCTCAAAGCATATCCTCTAGGATCTGAATGGTGTGCTCGGACTGCTCGTCAGTCTGAGGATGATAAGCCGTGCTAAAAGTCAATCTAGTGCCCAAGGCACTCTGCAAACTCTGCCACAACCTAGCAGTAAAATACGGATCTCTATCTAAGACAATCGACACTAGGACCCTGTGCAACCTCACTATGTCCCGAATATACAAGTCAGCAAGATGATCTACTGAATCTCTTACGTGCATAGGAATAAAGTGCATCGACTTAGTCAACCAGTCTATTACCACCCAAATGGCATCACTACCTCATTGAGTCCTCGGAAGACCTACAACGAAGTCCATCGTGACATGCTCCCATTTCCACTCGGCTATAGGCAAGCGTTGTAACAAACCCGCTGGCCTCTGATACTCGGCCTTCACTTGCTGACAAGTAAGACACTTAGACAGAAAAACTGCCACATCCTTCTTCATCCCTTTCCACTAAAACTGGCGGCTCAGATCACGATACATCTTCGTGCCTCCCGGATGCACCGCAAGGTGTAAATGGTGAAACTCTCGGAGTACTTCCTCTCGGCAAGACTCCGGCACCAACAAGCGGTCTCGGTACCTCACACTCAAGTCGGGATACATAGTCAGACCCTTCTCAACCTTCCCACTGGATATCTTCTCCTGGAGGGATTCTATCTCAAGGTCACCTCTCTATGCCTTTAACATTCGATTCACAAGTGTAAGCTGTGCAACCATAGAAAACAAGGCTGCAGACTCCACAGACTCGCCCACATGCAAGTCAAACTCACCAAGTGCACTAACATCTCCCATTCTCGAATGGCAATACAAGCTACATCACTAATGGACTTCGTACTTGGGGCATCGGCCACAACATTGGCCTTCCCCGAATGATAATGCAACTCGAAGTCATAATCCTCAATGAACTCTATCCACCTCCTCTGCCTCAAATTCAAGTCTTTCTATGTAAATAGATACTTCAGACTCTTATGATCCGAGAACACCTCGAATCTCTCACCATAAAGGTAATGCCTCCAAATCTTCAAGGCAAATATTACAACAGCTAACTCTAGGTCATGTGTAGGGTAGTTCCTCTTGTGTGTCTTTAGATGACGTGAGCCATAGGCTACTACTTTCCCCTCTTACATCAATACACAACCTAAACCCTCTCGTGAGGCGTCACAATACACTGCATAACCCAAACCTCTCTCCAGAATAATCAAAACTGGAGCGGTGGTAAGTCTAACTTTAAGCTCTTGGAACAACTTCTCACAAGTCTCACTTCATACAAATTTGACCCCTTTTCACGTCAATCTAGTCAACGGTGAAGCTAGCCTGGAGAAATCTTTCACAAACCTATGGTAATAACCGGCAAATTCCAGAAAACTGCAGATCTCAAAGACACTCTTAGGCTGCGCCCAATCTTGCACTGCCTCTATCTTGGATGAATCTACAGTCACCCCTTCCCTGGATACCACGTGGCCTAAGAATTTAACCTCTCTTAGCCGGAACTCACACTTCCCAAACTTAGCATACAGCTTATGGGCTCTAAACAACTCAAGCACCACTCGCAAGTGTTCCTTGTGCTCCTCCTCAGAAGGTGAATAAATCAGAATGTCGTCCACGAAAACGACTACAAAACGATCTAAGAACTCCCGGAAGATTCGGTTTATCAAGTCCATAAACACAGCCGGTGCATTGGTGAGCCCAAAAGGCAACACCAGAAACTCATAATGGCCATACCGCGTACGGAATGCCGTCTTTGGGATATCCTCCTCCCTGACCCTCAACTGATGGTAACCCGATCTCAAGTCTATCTTAGAGAAACAACGGGATCCTTTTAATTGGTCAAATAGATCATCTATACGAGGCATAGGGTACTTGTTCTTAACCGTAGCCCGATTCAACTTTCAGTAATCGATACAAAGTCTCAAAGACCCATCTTTCTTTTTAGCAAAGAGGACTGGTGCTCCCCAAGGCGAAGTACTAGGGCGGATAAAGCCCTTATCTAACAACTCCTAGAGTTGAATCTTCATGTGACAACCCCGCCATGTATAATATTTTATATTTGGTTAATTAAGGAGATTTGGGATTTTAATTAGTCGTTATCCTAATTTAATTTGAGATTTATCAGAATTGTGGAATCTAATTCGTATATGATTCTATTGAAAATTTATTTTGGATTTAGAATTAAGGGTCCAAATGGCTTAAGGAAGTGGAATTAAGAAGTTGAATCAATTTAATTTTAATTACGGACCCATTTGGGAGTTAATTAAATATTCAATTTAGTTTAGTAAAATTGAGATTCGATTAATTAGGTCCGAATTGGAGATAATTAAGTTAATTAACTTATGAGAATTGAGAATGGTGATTATTACGAATTAAATTTATTTATGGGGTGTCCAATTTGAATATGCAATTTATTGACGGAACTTTGGAGTCTGATTAGAAATTAAAGGCCTAAATGATTTGGGGAATCAAAATTGATGATGACAATAAGTTTAATTTAATATTTGGAGACTTTGGGGAGTTTGATTAAAAATCTGATTCAGATCGATAATTTTAAATATAATTAATTGGGTTCTAAAGAAGTCGAATTAGATGAATTAAATCATGTGGAATTTATGATTAGTAGTAATTAATTTAATTATGTGTTAATCAAGATTTATTAAGAATAAGTGTTATTTAATTAAATATAATCTTAATCATAAATTAAATTATAGAATGCTTTAGATTTTGAGAATATATGTGGGTGTGTGTGCTGAGAAGTGTGTGTGTGTGCAGAGAAGTCTGAGAGAGTGTGTATTATTGTTGTGCTGGAAGCTTAAAGTGGGTGCACGTGTGCTTGTGCAATGTTAAGAATTGAACATGTGTGTGTAAGTGTTGATAACCTTCAAGTTTTATATGTGTGCATGAGGAGAGAGAATAGGCAATCTATTTATTATTTGGTGAGAGAATTCTTGTGCTTCATCTTTATTTTTACAGAGCCGTGAGAGAGGAAGAGAACCGTGAGTGATCAATTCCTTAGATCCCTGCTGGGAATTTTGAAGAAGATTAAGGAAGCTAGAGAAGAAGAAGATTTAAAGGGGAAATCAAATCTAATTGCTGAAATTAAAATTTGAGGTATGAAATTCAAGTTTGATTTATGTAGGATTTTCTTTTTATATTTGAGATTGAGAAGGGTTTGGAATCATGTTCATGAAATTAGAGAGAAATTGGGTTTGAGCAAGAAATGAGTTACATACATAATTATGGGAAATTATGTTAAGTTTCATCATTTTAATTTAATTTTGGAAATTGCATGCATAAGAAACTCATCAATCAAGAACTCTAGATGAGGAATAAAGCTCAAATCTTGTAGATAAATTATCTAGAAGTTGAAATTAAGAAGTAAGTAGATTCAATTTCCATGCAATTAAAAAGAAATTAGCAAATTGATAAAAGTTGGGTCTTGCATGTTCAATCAAGATAGGTTGAAAAATATGAGTTATGGTTCTTTAAATTTGTTATGTATGAGTTTAATTTTGGGAATCATGCTTGAATTGAGTCCCATAAATTACATGCAACAAGGATTATTTGAAGATTTGATCCATGCAATGGGGATATGTTCAAATTTATGGAAGTTAAATTGGGAATTAATTATGTTTGAGTTTGATTTTTGTAATCTTACATGAGTTTGAGTCTAATCTCTACATGCATGAACATATTCTTCAATTTTGAGACTCTAATTGTACATACATCATGGATTTAAAATAATTGATTTCATGTTTTGATGTAATGAGAATTAAGCTTTGGAAAATGATAGGTTTATGAACAAAGAACTTAATTTGTAAATTAAAGGAGTTTTGATGTAATTGATTTAAAATTGATCATGTTTGATGAAGATGAGCATCAATTGTGTTATTTAAGTTGAAAATGAAGCCTATCGCACATGCATGTGAAATTCAAAGTGATATGGAAATTAATTTGCATGAGTTTTAAGGATATGAAGTTGGTATGGGTTGTCAAGAAAAATGTGAAATAATTTGGGAATTGAATTATGATTTTGGACAAATTAGACTCAATTTTCTTATGGCCTCATATTGTATAAAGATTTCCATAATTTTGTATCAAGAACATGAGTTTTAGATATCAAGAACAGAGTTTTAGACCCTTTCAATACTAAGTTTGAGCTTCAAATGCAATTCTGGAAATTCCAGAATTCGGCATGTCCGCTCGAGCGGGGAAAGTGCCGCTCGAGCGTGAAATGTTGGGTTGCAGTACTTTTGTAGATCAAAGGGGTCTGCTCGAGTGGCCAAATTCGCACTCGAGCAGAGAGCCCTGTACCTGAAATTATAAAAAATGGTTTTGTGTTTTGTTTTCCGTTCTCTTTCATTTCTAAGCACTCTTCGGAATACATTGGGCTTTGTAAATGACCTAAGGGTAAAGAAAGAAGCCTAAGAGAAATAAATAGATTAAAGAACAGATTGAATTATTTGTGACCCAATATGTGTTATGAATTGTGTAGGGTCGAGCATAAGGACGAATCCACCGGGGGTCGAGCATAAGGACGAATCCACCGGCAGAACACTATGAGTAATATCTTAGTAAATATATGTTCAAGTATGTTGCTTTCCCAAACATTACTTCTGTACATGCCTTATGGATTTGTATGCTTGAAATAAGAATGAATATTCTAAGTGTCAGTCTTTTGCCTAAGACTAAGTGAATACAAACACGATCATGATCATGAGCATGAAACACACATAAATACGTTTGACATGAATGATTGGGCCAAAGGCCGTTTGACATGAATGATAGTCTGACATGAATGACTGGGCCAAAGGCCGTTTGACGTGAATGATTAGGCCAAAGGCCGTTTGACATGAATGATAGTTTGACATGAATGATTGGGCCAAAGGCCATTTGACATGAATGATAGTTTGACATGAACGATTGGGCCAAAGGCCGTTTGACATGAATGATTGGGCCAAAAGCCGTTTGACATAAATGATTGGGCCAAAGGCTGTTTAACATGAATGATTGGGCCAAAGGCCGTCTGACATGAATGATAGTTTGACATGAATGACTGGGCTGAAGGCCATTTGACATGAATGATTGGGCCGAAGGCTGTTTGGCATGAATGATTGAACCGAAAGTTGTTTGACACAAACAAATTGGACCTGAGGCTGTTTGATAAGAGCGAATTGGGCCTGAAGCCGTTTGATATGTTTAGGCCTGAGGCCGTTTGATGTATTAGATAAAAACGTGAATGGGCCTAAGGCCGTTAGATATGTCTATTACGCATTTCATTCATGTAACTTCTTTATTTTGATATTAGTCACTGGGCTATAGCTCACTCTCATTTATATGTGTGTAGGTGAGCAAAGAGTTGACCAAACCCAACCTCAGTGAAAGATATGAAAGGAAGTCAAGTTTTGTGGAGTCAGCCCGCACGTCTCACGCACTAGACTTTATTTTTGTTCTTGTGTTCACACTTTTGCTTGGCTGGTGAATAAGTTGGATCATCCATGTATATAAGTTCGTTTTGTTTGGCTGACTGTATGTTTTGGAGTTCCTGGATGTATAAGATATTAACTTTGTTTTTATGTGTGAGTTATTATGTACTATTTATGAAATGTTTCGCTTTATCATGTAAGCACTGCTCATTGAACAAAAATTTTTAGTATACTTCCGCTTTTGGCCCCATATGATTATTTTGAAAATCTATTTTTTGTCTGAGGCAGTAGGTAATCTAATGATTACTGGCCGGTTATGATCCTAACCTATAGGGGCGAGTTCGAGTCATGACACTTCAACTCACTCAACTCGGCTGGGGCAAAACGATACGGTGCCATAGAAATCGGTGCCGTGCCAGGCACTAAGTCAATAGAGAACTCAACCTCTCGATGGGGTGGTAAACTAATAAGATCCTCGAGAAAGACGTCCGAGTACTCACAAATCACTCTCGGCAACTCAACATCATTCAGATGTATATAAGGTTTCGGGACTTTCACCCTGGACACTCCGGCCAACTTAATTATCAATGGAGTCCATCCCCTATCTCCTTCCAAACAATGGAGTACATCCCCTATCTCCTCCCAAACAAAGATACATATGCAATGTATTTAAACACTTTATCATATACAATGATCATTTAATGCACATATTCAATGTGTTATTCCAACCGTCATATTCAATGGCATATTCCAGGTAATAAATTTCAGTTCGCCTAATCATCATACAGTGTCTACAACAATCAAGACTATCCTCCTCCGATAGCCCAAAACAATTATTTCTAAACAGATAATACATTTATCAAATAGATAAATTATCAACATTTTCATAGGTGAGTGATTAATCAATCCAATTACACCATTCTATCTCATAATTTCCCAATTTCGTGATTTTCAACTCATTTTCATGTTTTCACATTTTTCCAAATTTAATTATACAAATTAATCAATCACATCAAATTAGGGCATTTTCCTCATTTTCTCAACTTTAGCCTTAAGGCTCAATTTCCTCAATTTTACACCAATAATCCCAGTTTTCCAAGGTCTCACATAAACATGGAGCTCAACAATTGAAAACCCCCTTTCTATAATTTCAAATTCAAACCCCAACTTTCCAAAATTTCCATATTTCACTATTTATACAAAAATGACAAAAATTTAGGTTAAAACTCACAAAGACGTGTAGTTTATCCCTACCTCAAATGAAGAGACTCAAAGGAGATGATGAAGAAAACTCAAGACGCTCAAAAATCCAACTTTTTCGGATCAAAGTGTAGCCCAAGCAAAGCTCTATTTTTTTTACAAAGCAAGTAGGGTAGAAACCCTCTAGATCAAGTGTATTGGTAGAGAGAAGAAGTGTGTAGAGAGAGAGAGAGTGATGGATCTAGGGTTTGAGATGAAAAGAAGATCAAAAAGTGAAGGGGAAGACCGCTGCTGCGAATTGATATATACAGGGCTCGCTCGAGCGAAGAAGTAGTCGCTCGAGCGAACAATGCGAAGTTTTAGGTCTGCAACCCAGAAGCACGCTCGAGCGTATGACTCCTCGCTCGAGCAAAGAAACACAAAACATTGAGCTCGCTCGCTCGAGCGAAAAAACACAACCCTCAGATCAAAAAGAGACGCAGACGCACGCTCGAGCGCAAGGGTACTCGCTCGAGCGAAGAGACACACCACTCAAAGCTCGCTCGAGCGAACGAACTAAAACCCAAAGCTCTCTTGAATGACAAAAGCCTCGCTCGAGCGAAGGAGCAAAAATTTGAACAGCACCCATTTGTTCCAACACTCAACCAACCTGTTACAAACCTGCCCAACACATCCCAAAACTCAATTACAAAGAATTAAAGGATGGAAACAAGATATAGACAACAACCAACTACGGAACCTAAGTCCGGAATATAATAAACAATGAAGGAAAACCGGGGTCGTTATAAACGTGAGATTGAGTGGTAAGATTATTAGTTTAATGATATTAATTTGGAGATGTAAAATAAATTATGTTTGTTTGTACACTATTATAATGAGATTAATTGATTGAGATTAAATATATTAAATTATGTAAAAACTCTCATTATATACAAATGACTTTGTTGGTCTGATGATATTAATTTGGAGATGTAAAATAAATTATATTTGTTTATACATTATTGCAATAGTATTTATTAATTGAGGTTAAATTTATAAAATTATGTAAAAATTCTCATTATATAGAAATGACTATGCCAGAAAATAATATTTTTACTCCCAATTTCATGGGATTAAATTAGCAATCTCGCTTTCTCCATGAAAATGTTAATCACATCCTTGAACGGTATTTATAGTCCCATGACATGTTTTTTCAAGGCTGGCTTTGGCCTAAAGTAAGCAAAGTCACCGCTTTAGACCTCCGAAAAATTATTTTAAAAAATGCCCCATTTGTTTTAGCTATTATACCAACGAACAAAAAAAATTCACCTGAATTTAAAAGTTATTTTGGTGAAAATTTGAAACTAATAAATAATTATTTTATTTATAAGAAAAGACTATAAAGCCAATTGTTATGATGAATTATTTAAAATTAATAGATGATTGTTTCCTAAATATATAAATTATGTATAAAATACAATTAATTACACTAGGTACAGTTATTTCTAACAAAAAATAAATATTTTCTAGTTTAAAGTTGACATCTTACCTTCTGCGAACTTATGTGATAAGAAATATTATGGATTAGTATTTTTGTCAATTGAAAAGAATAGTTGATAAGTCACATTATACAAGCTTGGTTAGCCATTTTGTAGCTAAAAATGCAAACAAATGTAATATTTAAATGATATTTTGTTATAATCTGTTAATTTTTTATTTGGTGTTTAAGCTTGGATTATTTTAGTTCTTTTTCTTATTGTAAATTTTGTTATATATTTAAGTAAATTTAAATAATTATATCTAGGGTTTATTACACTTTTTATCCCTAATTTATCATCAAATTGTTTATTTAGTTCCTAAATTATCAATTGAATCTATTTAGACCCTAAAATATATAAATCAAAATCTATTTGGTCCTAAACTATCGATTATGTCTATCAGATCCCTAAAGTATATAAATCAAAGTCTATTTACAGTCTTTAGAAGAATTACAAAAATAAAATATATACTCATACTTATTATAAATTAGTAAAAGACTATCCCCAATTAAGATTTTACTACAGAAAAATCTTTTAGGTTTTTAGTTTATCTTTAAAAGGTATTTTATTTCGTTGTGTGTTTAAATTAATATTAGAGTCTGATTTTTCAGTCTTACTAATAAATTATATGAATATTAGATATGCTGAAAAAGTAGAATTAGATAATTTAAATAATAACACTTCTCTACAAACAGTAATAGAATAAAAAAACTTTGCAAAAAAATTAAAAACAATCAATTAGAAATTATAAAGAAATCTAACATATAATATTAGATAAAAAGCAAGCACATATTCATTGTAAAAGATAAGTAATAAAATACTATAGATAATTACCCTCATTCTTATAAAGGAAATTCAATATATAGATTAACGTTCACTTTTCAAAGACAAGACAAAAATTTAAAATTTGTAGGAAAATTTTTTTTAAATAAATTTATTTAAAATCAAAAAATTAAAAATTTTAGTTTGAGATATTGGAACTCGCACAAGACTTGCCCATTTTACTTATATAATATATAGATATAGATTGGTAGATAGATTTAATAAGAATTTATATTTGTTTTAGATTTTTTATAAAAATACTTTAAAAATCCCATCAATAACTATAATGTAAGGAAGAAGTTGAAAATGGTTATGTGAGAAATAAAAAAGGTTTGTGGATTGCGAGAAATCAATAATTGCTGAGTTTTTTTTTTTAAATAAAAAAATTAGAAAATTGAGATTGGGATATTGGAGCAGCTTATATATTATGGGATAAATCATTAAAATTTTAAATTTAAATTAATGAAATACTTTCCATATTTAGTGCCCCTCAAATTTAAATTTTAAAATGGATTTGTATACTTTCTATCTTTTATTATATATATATATATATATATTTTTTTTTTGCTTGAATGAAAGCTATAGAGGATTTTTTTAATTATTTAAAATCAAAAAATTAGAAATTTTATTTGAGATATTGGAATTCCCACAAGACTTGCCATTTTACTTATATAATATATGGATATAGAGAGATAGATAGATAGATAGATAGATAGATTTAATAAAAATTTATATTTGTTTTAGATTTTTTTAATATACAAATTATATCTTTTTATATTTTTTATAAAAATAATTTAACAATCCCATCACTAACTATAGTGTATGGAAGAAGTTGAAAAGGGTGTAGCAGTAGGTATGTGAGAAGTCAAAAAGGCTTGTGAGTTGGGGAAAGTCAATAAATGCTGAGGTTCTTTTTTAAATAAAAAAATTAGAAAATTGAGATTGAGATATTGGAGCTCCCACAAGGCTTGTGGGTTAAAAACCCCATTTTCTTTATATAATATATAGATTGTGATGCCCCCAAAATATGACACCAATGAACCATTCATAAGATCTATGGGCATAATGGAAATATTAAATTTTCATTCATCAGAGTTTATATTACAAGAGATATTACATGCATTATACTTTCATAAATGTTCATTCTGAAACTACAACATGTAACACTAATTGATTACAACTCTCACAAGGGTTGTGGGTTAAAAACCCCATTTTCTTTATATAATATATAGATTGTGATGCCTCCAAAATATGACACCAATGAACCATTCATAAGATCTATGGGCATAATGGAAATATTAAATTTTCATTCATCAGAGTTTATATTACAAGAGATATTATATGCATTATATTTTCATAAATGTTCATTCTGAAACTACAACATGTAACACTAATTGATTACAACAAAATAAACGCCCTACGGGCTTACATCTTTCCAAGATATTACTTGGTTACAACAAAAGAGTCCTAAGCTCTATACATGTAAAGCCTTTGGCTTGAATTAACATTTTAAACACAGAAGTAACAAAACAAAGCCTCAAACTTCTAAGTCCTCCCTAGCTACGCCCTTGGAGGAGGCATGTCACCTATACCTGAAAATGGTTTCCTAAGTAGGGTGAGCCAAAACCTAGCAGAGATAAACTAACACAATATATGAGGTTTAACTAAGATATAAATGTCAAATAGAAGTCCAATACTC